ATGCCCCCTCCTTACGGGATGAACGTGCTACAACCCACTCTCTCACCCCGTGTTTCGAGAGTATATGGAACTTGGTGGTGCTTATGTGAAATCGTGCGTACACCTGTGCGCTACCTCCTCCCCACCCTGACCCCCCTATACTGCGCTCCGAAGCGTCGACAATACCTCTAATTTCTCTCCATTTCGCCCGTACGTGCGGCATATACGTGCACCCCGCAGTCGCGGTCTTATAGACGGGTCGAAATTGGCGGCGTCGTGCTAGATCAATGGCAAAGGAATTTTTTTGCATAAATATGTTTATTAGATCCCACAGATTACGAAACTTCGTGTTGCCACCGCGCAACCTAGTCACAATTTGTTTCGTGATGATGTATAGTCATACACTAGTACTGGGAGTCAGCTCGGGCGCGCGCAGAAATAGCTTGAATGTTTATTGTAAAAAAACAATGTTGCCATTACTTTTTTCAATTTTCGTTTTTTGGAAGTTGTAGAGGAAGGTTAACACTTTATGTTTACGTGGTGTACCTTCCAAAAATGTTTTATTTTCATTCCTTACCAATGTTCTGAAAATTGAAAAATTCACATTTTTCAAATCTTTGGGAATTTTTCGCTCGAAAACTGTGGGGTTCAGGTATATACGTCCCAATTGGTTTTTTGTTCAGAATGACTCAAAAAAACTTAATATATTTTTTTTAGATCGAAAAAATCACTTTTACTAATTTGTTTAAAAAAAAGTTAGTTTAAACAAATTGTGACTAGGTTGTGCGGTGGCAACATGAAGTTTCTTAATCTGTGGGATCTAACGAACATATTTATGCAAAAAAATTTCTTTGCCATTGATCTAGCACGACCTCGCTAATTTTGACCCGTCCATCTCTCCTCGGAAAATCCTTTGCGGTATAGTTATTGTCGGGGAATGCCCGCGTAAACAATGGATCGTGAGCACAATACTCGCGAGCTGCTGACGATGCTTCCAGTGCGTGTACGTGAGCTGTTATATCGTATACATTATTTTTTACCTGCTCTGATTGCCCGCAAGTGCAAGTAATACAAACAATCTGCAACCGCGTTACAGGTACATATCCAGAGACCCATCGATCGTCTCGGCCAACAGTCGAGTACTTTGAAATGTTTTATACACATATAAGATACCCAATGATCGACGCGGTTAATCGTCGGGTAATTAGCGCCACTCGTGCTTTTATCGCTCGAAACGTCAATCGCGCGTGAAATTCCTCGGCGCGTTGACTCCGAGAATTGATTTAATTAATTCCCCTCGACAGCGGGGCATGGAGGGGCACTTGAGCGATGAACTTTCACCCAGGGTCCTTACGCATGTACTCGACAGATAATCGCGTGACTTGGAGGAGGGGGGGGGGCAAAGTTTACTTGTAAACAGCGGCATCGTCCGCGAGTCCTCTGGCGCGTCGAGATAGCTCCTGTGCGCGGGAGAGACGAGAGCTTCTCGGAGATCCAAGGCTCGTGTCGGCTCACCCATAAACGGCGGCCCCCATCGGGGATCAGCTCGAGGCTAAGCCGCGCCACTATGTATACGCGCACATGTAGTCGTGTGAATTTGCACCCACCCCTATAAGCGCTGTATCACATGTGTGTGTATGTATATACCTACGGTCATTAGTTTTCATAAATATTTTCTACCCTTCCGATTACTCTCTTTTGTGAGTACAAATTCATGGAAAATGATCGTTTTCACCTTTCGAGAGAATTGTTTTAACCCATTTGTCGTTTTTTTTTTTATTTTTTTTTTT